GAGAAGCATTAATGTGAGAGTGAGGCATCGGTTGGCTGACTCCTGCATGCCCTCTATGGGTATCAAGCCTGCAAACCAGCATGTGCCCCAAGTGGAAATTGAACCTGAAACTTTTAGGTGCACAGGTCACCATCCAACCAACTGAGCAACACCAGTCAGGGCTCTAATATATTTCCTCATTTGTTATTGTATGTTCATTTCCAACTAGTTCTTTTTTATATTTTCTATCTTCTGGTTTTTCTAAAATATATTTTTATTGATTTCAGAGAGAAAGGGAGAGGGGGAGAGAGAAAGAAATATCAGTGATGAGAATCATTGATTGGCTGCCTTCTGAATGCCCCCCAATGGAGATGGAGCCCACAACTGAGGCATGTGCCCTGACCAGTAATTGAACAGTGACCTCCTATTTCATAGGTCGATGCTCAACCATTGAGTCATGCGGGTAAGGTTCTATCTTTGATTTACATTTCCTCTTCATTAAAGTTCTCATTAAGATCATTGAGCATCCTAATAACCTGTGTTTTAATTCTGCATCTGGTAGATTGCTTGTCTCCATTTTGTTTAGTACTTTTTCTGGAATTTTGTTCTGTTCTTATGTTGGAACATGATCCTTTGTCTCCTTATTTTGGCTACCTCCTCGTGTTATTTCTATGTATTAGGGAGAGCTGCTATATCCCTTGCTCTTGGTAGAGTCGTCTTATGTAGTAGGTGTCCTAAATGGGCCCAGTGACACAGTCTCCCTGTTCGCCTGAGCCGGGTGCTCCTGTGTGTCCCTGTGTGGGTTTGTGTGCTTTCCTATTGTAGTTGAGACTTGATTGCTGTTGGCGTAACAATGGCAGAGACTGACCTTCAGGCTCATTGGTTGTGAGGACTGGTCATGGCTATAGTGGAACTGCTATTGTGCAATGGTGAACCTACAGAGCAGAATTCGCTTTAGCAGGACTCTGGTACCATCTGAATTTGCCCTTTGAGTGTGTCATTTGTGGATGTAGTTGGGTGCTGTTCTGATGTAGTCTGAAGCTGAGCACTAGGTGTGTTGGTTCTGAAACCTACTGAGAAGTGCAGGTCAAGGTATCTGCTGTTTGAGACCAGCCTGGGGCCACCTGCTATTAGCTACAAGGTGATCTGCAGATGTTTTCCACTTGTGTAGACTTGGAGGTACCTGGGAGAGGCTAAGATGCAAACTGAGGCCAAATGCTGCTGGTGTGAGGCTTGGAGATGCTTGGTAAGCGGAATAGGGCATTCCAGGGCCCGATGCTGCTTGCTTGGGGTTTGTGAACTTTTGAGATATTTTTAGAAATGTTGCCATATGCCAAAACAAGTTCTTTGTATGGAAAATTGTTAACCAGGTTGAGGGAAACTCAGATCTGATGCTTGTCTACGCATGCAGGTGGGAGGAGGGCTTAGCAAAGGAACAGTTGCTTCAACCATCACTTCTCTGTGAGACAGCTGCCCTTCCAGCATTTCCCTGAAGCCAGATAAGTCAGTTTTACCTCTAGCATCTTTCAAGGTGCTGCTCCAGTGCTGGAGATCAGAGCAAGTGAATCCATCTGCGAGTAATTCCATGCAAAGGCCCTTTAAGAGGAATACCTAGGATTCCAGAAGCTACCTCCACCCCCACTCCTCACTGATCCACCATCTCTACTGGTTTTCATAGTCAAAAGTTATGGGGAATTCTCTTGTCAGCACTGGAACCTGGGCAGGAGAGCCTAGTGTGGGGCTGGGACTCCTCACTCCACAGTGGGAGACCTCACAGCTGTTATATCTCTCTCCACCTTTAACCAGTACATGTGGGTGTGGGACCAACCCATTGCATGCCTCTTCCCCTCCTACTAACCTTCCTTCTACTTACACTGGCTTCTTGTGTATCTCCTTAGCTTTAGGGCACTGTTCAGCTCAAATTCAGGCAGGTATCAATGATGGTTGCTCTGTAGCTTAGTTGTAATGTGGTCATGGGAGAAGGGGAGTACAGTGTTTACCTATGCTGCCATCTTGACTGGGAGCGAAAACTAGAGTTTTAACTAGGTCAATTTATATGTCTAGGTGAATGGGAAAGCAGCACCTAGAACCCAAAATTCACAGACCTTGCCGCATCAGTGTTCTTTTCATTTTCTAGGATGCCACTGTGTAGTGACCATTTACTATTTCTCAGTTAGATCATAAATCTTGATTTACCATTCCAGAAATATGGGTGATAACCTGATAACCTTCCCATTATAAACATCTTAAAATGAAAAATAAAATATACCAAAAAATTTAAATAACTATAATTTCAAGAAAGAGAAATAACCAGTGCCAAAGATGAAGAGGCTGCTGACACTCCAGCTTCCATGGGGTAGGGGAATATCACTGGTTTCCATAGCCTAGGGGTCTGGCTTTTCATATCTATTGGTCTCCCCAACCTGCCCAGAAGGCAACCAGAAACTGGGAAGCAAGCACCATAGGTCGACAGAATGCTCCAAGAGCAGTCCTCTAGTTAACCTCAAAGAGCCAGAAAGGGAACTCACATTGCTCAAAGAGAATGGGGAAATTCCTCAGTTCTTTTTTTCCTCCTGTTCTCTCATGCCACAGCCCCCACACTAAGTCCAGTGGGAATCTATAGGAGCCAAAATTCGGAGGGAGAGAAACTTACTCTCCGTTTGAAGGAACTGAGACCCCAAGAAGATGGACAAACCCCCCATTTCTTTATTTCCTCTCTCCGCCTTCATGGCACTTGGCCCAAATGTATCGATAGCTCAGTCACAAAAATCCCTGGAATTGCAGGGTAACTAAAGCTTCACCTTTCTAGCCATCAACCAGAAAAAGGGAGCCCCAGGGAACTCTAAATTCAAGGAGGTCACAGTGAGAGAGGACCTTGGGAAAGTGAACATTCAAAGGGGCAATGGCTCGATATTCAGACTGACATTGAAATTACACTATGCACACAGAAGGTTAGTAGGAACTTGCAGCTGAAATTAAATAGGCCAGTTGCCTTCTAAGCAAAACTGTGAGCATCCTCCATAGGATTTCAGTGAGACCCAGAGTCACATAACTTAATGTTTATAAAGATACAATAAAAAATCACTCTGTCCAGTTTTTCTCAATTATTAGAGCATCTGCCTGTGGACCGAAGGGTCTCAGGTTGAATTTCTGGTCAAGGGCATGTACCTCCATTGCAGGTTCGGTCCTCAGCATGACCAATCAATGTGTCTTTCTCACATCCATGTTTCTCTCTCTTTTTTTCTTTCTCCCCTGTCCCCCTTCCACTCTCTTTAAAAAATAATAAATAGAAAAAATATCTTCAGGTGAGGATTTAAAAAAAATCACTCTATATGTGAAGATCTAGGGAAATCTTGACTCACATGGGAAAAGACAACTGATATGCCAGGTAAGATGAAACAGATGTTGGAATTATCTGATATACATCTTAAAGGAATTATGATACAAAATACTCCAATAACAACACTGAATACCCTTGTAATAAATACAGAAATAAAAGCCTCAGCAAAGAGATAGACAAGATAAAGAAAAATGGGAAATTTTAAAACTGATAAATACAAATTAGCAACACAGGGATGTCAGATGAAAGACACAAAGAACTTGAAGACAGATCAATAAAAATTATCCAATCTGAACAACAAGGAGGAAAATTATTGAAAATGAACTGAATCTTGGGACCCATGGGAGAAGAGCAAAAGGTCCAATATTTCTGTCATCAAATTTCTAAAAGGAGAGAAAAAAGAATGTGCTGAAAATATTTTGAAGAAATAAAGGCTATAAACTTTTAATGTATGGCAAAAGACATGTAGAGATTTCAAGAAATTGAGGCTAAAACTAAAGAAATTCATGCCAACACATCCTAAACTGCTAAAAACTAAAGACAAATGTGATAAGGTATGTACATATATAATAACTTAATTAGAAAAATGAGGAAAAAAATAAAATAAAATTGTAAAAAGTCCTAAAATAAAATAAAGACAAATGTGAGACAAAATATAAAGATATTTTCAGACAAAGACTGAAAACTTTTGCTATTAATGGATCCTCACCAAAGAAGCCACAAAGAAAAAAGAAGAAAATGAATCTAGAAGGGAGGAGAGAACTATAATAAGGAAAGTAAATGAAGAAATGTGTAACCAACATATGGGTAAATCCCAATAAGTATCGACTGTATAAAATAACAACAATTGTTGTGATTATGTGAAACACCAAATTTGGGGATTTAAAAAAAATGAAACTAAAATACCAGACAATACTAATTAATAAAATAGGGCAGTGTAATCAAGCTTTAAGGTTCTTATATTGTTTGGATGAAGGGTAAAGATTATTTTTTCGCTTTGTCAAGTCAAATATACATGTTGGACTTTAAAAGTAACAGAAAAAATAGATGAATCATGGAGTGAGTGTCCAGGCTCTTAGAGATTATGAGACTGATACAAAAATAATTCAAATACAAGGTTCAAATATTAAAAATGGGTAGATGCCAGAACAGGAACACTGTAAGTAAACATACATCTCTGATGTGAAGTCCCTTCAATTCAAAATGTCTCTGCTCTGTAAAGAGGATGAGACATGGAGTGGGCCATTTGGGCCTGGGAAATTCAGATTTCTGAGCCTTGGGTTCTTGTAACAAGGCTCCTAGAATTCTAGGGTTCCTGAGCTGTTTGGAAGGAGGGTACAAATTATGAAAGAAGTTATGATCTTCAAGTCTGCAGAAGAAGATCATTGGAGTCAAAACCAATTTTACATCAGTATGTCACATTTTCCCCTTCAGTGGCTCTGTGGTAAGAGAATAAGTGGATAAGTGCTACATCTGTATGTATTAGGGAGTGAATTTTGGACCTGTCTAATGTACTGCTTCAAGTAGCCAAGTCTCCATTTATCTGCCCCTCAGTGATTTTACCCTTCCACCAAGTCCCCTAGCCCTGCCCCAGTACCCTTAATTCAGCTTCCAGGGTTCACCTTCAGCCCCAGCCCATGCTATATTGTTCCCAACTAATCCTAGGGACTTAGGCCCATACATCAGTGATGAGTGGATGCAGATGCTTCGAAATGCTGCAGAACACCACCTTGACCTCCTCTCCTTGCCCATGGAGGATGATGTTCCGTAGGGCTTTCATTGCCTGAACTGTCACTCGAGCCTCGCTCTTCAATAAGTCACGCAAGAATGGAACCAGGCTCCTCAGAGACTCTGACTATTTGGAAGAAGGCAGAGATTACTCACCACCTGGGGACCATGTGACACTTTAGGGATAGGGTTTTGAGAAAACAGATGGCACCTAAAAAATAACAGACCTAGGGAATCTAGGGGCTAGATGTATAGAGGAAGTGGAAAGCTGGTGCTCAGGGTGTTTGGAAGGCCAGATGGCCAGGCTATGTAAGTTTATAAACTGGATGTTGTACTGCCCTGGGATGTGGGGTTGGGAAATATACTGAGCTCTGGGTAATTAAGAGGCCCTGAGTGGTTCAGAGACTAACATTTGATTCCCATTGGGACCCCCACTTTTACTTGACTTGGGTGCAGTGCCATGTTACTGATTCCACGGAGTCCAATTTCTTTCATAACGAGGTTGGGCTCCTTAATCCACTTGATTAGATTTTCCACAAATTCTTGACCCAGAGTCTGAGCCACTGATCGATGCCAGAGGAGCTGTGGAAGCAAGGATACTACAACGATGGATAGAGAAATGGTCATGGGAACACGCTGCTTCTCTAGTTCCCCCAGGCCCCACACTTGGGTAAGACCAGTTGAGAGCAGTGGTAGATATGTCCACATGGGGTAGAGTCTAAGGCAATGGAGGAAAACGCTGAAACGTTAGCATTTTGGGCCAGATCCTGGGATCCTAAAATTATTCTGGGAGGACTAATATTGCTGTTCCCCTCCCAGGCCTTTTTTTTTTTTTAACCAGGCTCTGAGTTGGTAGGGAAGCAATCCACACTCAATTCTATTCTTTCTACTTCCTGGGGCAAGTTATTTAACATTTCTGTTAAATGTTCCTCAGCTACAGGAAATGAATGGCTAGGGCTGCGGTCCTCTCCCCAGGCTTTCACCTGTGCATAGAGGGTCCTGGCCAAGATCTTCTGACGATTATCTATGCTGTTGAGATGATTCTTTGCAAGGTTCAAGATTCGGTGCAGCAGGACTGGCTCACAGTTCTTCACAATGCCACTGGGATGGGGCAGAGGAAGCCAAGAGTTGCTGGGTGGGGAGTGGGCAGTGGTGGAGCGGAGGTGGCAAGAGAACAGTATGCACAGAACAGGAAAAATGTGAAGGCTGAGGTCTGGGAGATGAGGAAGGGAGGGTTAAAGGCTGCTGTAGGTGAGTGCTGTGCCCTGGAAAATTGGCACTGGGGGCTAGAGTGGTATTAGGCATGCTGGGGAAATGGTCCCACCTTGTCAGTTCCATGATCCCTATGTAGTAAAGTTTAGGGCAGGTCAGAAGATCCCAGCACTTGTGCTCATCTGCATAGACCACCACTCCATCATATGCAGCTGCGAACAACACCAACTTCACCACCTCTAGGGCACAACTGAAGACCAATCATCACCAGGTTTGTGAAAAGAAGAAACAGAAGGACGGACAAGATGTTATGTTATAATTTTGCATCCTTATCCTGGCAAGCCAGGAGACTGTTCTCTAATCTGTTAACTAGCTGGATCATTCTTTCCAGCTGATGATAAACCATGGCAATATGAAACCCGTCTCCAATTGTTTGTCTGCTCACTGCTTCAACCTTGGTGTTCATCCAACCACAGAGTCTTATTCAGAGACTATAGAGATATGCTAGTGCCACAGCTTTCAAATTCTGCTCTCCAGGTGTAGAAGTGTTAGGATATCTCTTCACCTCCACACCACCCTAACCGGAATTTCTGTGGTTACTGGTTTTCTTTGTTTGTTTGTTTGTTTGTTTGTTTCTTTCTTTCTTTCTTTCTTTCTTTCTTTCTTTCTTTCTTTCTTTCTTAAATATATTTTATTGATTTTTTACAGAGAGGAAGGGAGAACGATAGAGAGCTAGAAACATTGATGAGAGAGAAACATCGACCAGCTGCCTCTTGCACACCCCATACCGGGGATGTGCTGGTTTTCTTTATTTTCTTACTGTAAGCTTTCACTTGAGTAGAATACCCTGACATTTTTTTTTTTTAAAGTCTAACAACCACTTATTTAATAGTTCAACACCCATTTTACTTCAGAAAATGGAGTAGTGACTTGCATGAGATGGCACAGCTAGTGACAAAGCTAAGCCAGAGATTATCCAGATTCGAATGGCCACAACTGCATGGAGAGAATTCAGTCTTTCATGTGTCAAGTCATGAACAGAGACATGAACTGCTGAGTGAAGCAGAAGAGTGCATGCAGGGAAAAGAGTAACCAGAAACTTGAAAATATGTGTGAACATTCCAGCACATGATGCTGCAGTACCCACACCAACATTCTAGCTCTATGCTGCCGTCAGTCTCTTCTTCAGCATCCCTAGAGTAGGCATTTAGTTGTCCAGGGCCCAGTGGAGTTCACTAGTCTCATTTTCCATCACACCAGGGTTAGGCTTACCTAGTAGGGTCTAAGGTCTTGCCTAAGATGCCCTCCTTCCTGTAGACCACCATCTTCTGGGAGGGATTTTGCTCATTCACCCAGTAGAGATGACATAGCACAGCCAGCAATAGCCGGGGGTAGAGTTCCTGGATGGCCTGCAGGCACAGGGACCCTGATAGCATCCCACACAAAGCACATGTCGCCTGGGGAGTACACAAGGAAAGGAGGAAGCAGAATTGACTTGGTCTGGTAAAGACATAAATGGTCCCACAACCCCACACACCGAGTCCAGCCCTCCCTTCACCCTCCTCTCATCACTGCCCAAAGGTCACAGTTCACTCTGACTGAGGTTTCTAAGCAGCATCCAAAGATTGAAAGCCCACAGCTCATCCCTGGGGAAATGAGGGCCACACACATGTAATCTTGCCTCTCTCTGTTTCCAAACATTGAAAACAAGAAGGGAACCAATTCTAAGTTTTCAGCAGAAAATAAATGGGGCCACCCAACTTCATCCTCTGCCCTCACTACTCCATGCCCCTGGCCAGGGCCCAGAAAAATGGGTGCCAGACCCAAACACAGGAGATAGAAAAAGCTGATTAACTCTGAAAATCAGTTTCTTTGTCCATGAAATGGGATTGATTCTTGCACTTTCTATACCATG